TCAACCTACTTGTTGCTTCCTTTTATTCTTCTGTGTGGGAAGGGCTCCAGGAACCAAACCCAGGACCTTGTACAAACTGCATATGAAGTCAGCTCGTGTCTCCTCAAGTGTCTCTTCTTTACCAGCTCCCAAAGACAATCGACCTTGACACCATCTATGGATAAGTTCATTTTCCTTTTTTCTTTCTTTCTTTTTTAAATTTATTTTTATTTTATTTGCATTGGTGTTTTGCTACATTTATGTCCTCATGAGGATGTCAGATCTTAGACAGTTGCGAGCTGCCATGCGGGTGCTAGAACTTGAATTCAGGTCCCCTGGAAGAGCAATGAGTGCTCTTAATTACTGAGCCATCTCTCCAGCCCCTAAGTTCATTTTCCTAGTTCAGTCCTGTGCCCGCATGCCCTCTATCTCTACTTCCCTCTGAACAATACATGAAATGTATAAATAGCACTAAGTATGAGATTGCTTTCATTAGCAAATCATAATTTTACAAAAAGCTATTGAAGAACACAAATGTAACCTGATGGCATGGTGGTTTTGTATTCTACGTTGGCCTAAGGAACACCAAATGCTCCTGAAGGAGCTCCTCAAGCACATGTGACTCCAGCTTACCGCCTGTGGACAATGAAAGGACGCTGCCAAACAAGCCAGACCCAGCACTGGGCTGGAGTCTAGCCACTGTTAACTGCATGGTTTTAAGTTAGTTATAATCCTTGGGCAATTCTGCAAGCTGGTAGTCTTTAAGACTTCTCTTTTTCACCAATCTTTTTCATTTGGGGGCGGGTAGGGTCTCTGTACCCCAAGCTGGCCTCAGACTTAGAATGTAACTAAAGAGGACCCTGCACCTTCTGCATGTGGGATTATAGGTTTGTGCTACCAAACCTGTCGTGTGGTTCTAGGGATTGAACCCAGGACTTCCTGTATGCTGTGCCTCATCCCCAGCCTCTGTATTCCCTTTCAAGTAACATTTAACTGACTGGAAGGTATTTTGGTCTGTAGCTCTCCAGAGGCAATGGCTATTTAATGTATACTATTCTAGTACTGTGCATACGTGGGCAGCTGTTAAGTAAAGGGATTTCCTACCGGTGACACTCAGGAACAAAACTGAGTCTGATCGCTACTATTTTACAAAGAGCAAGTCACTCAGCGACTGTGAACGTTGGTTGTCATATGGCTACAGAACATCTGCTCTTCCTACTTAATTAGAAGAAACACAAATCAGGCAGGGCAGTCTTTGTCATGTGAAAGTTCTTGGCACAGCATAAGAAAAAATAATTCTATAAAGCATCCTTGAGGTAGATGGAAAACTAACAATATCCCAAATGTGTTCCAAGACATCATTTCAATATATAGACATATAGGGAAAGAGATTGACAGTGTGTAAAGGGTTGAAAACAGAGCTAGGGAGAGGAAATTACCCTTGTCTTCCACCCCGAGATAATTATCACTGCCAAGCAAGACCCTATTCAGGACCCCACACATCTACACAAAACATGCCTCCACTAGAGCCAGTCCTGGGGTCACGGTGCTGGAGTTTATCTGGTCACCTGGCCACTCATGCAGGAGCAAACAATAAGCTCCCACTGCCACAGAAAAAGCTCAGAAGCAGGAACGAGTAAATAAATTACTGTGGCTGGCATTGCTTTCCTATATGAATGGGCAATGGTGCTACACCAAGAACCTCCACAGAGAAAGCTGAGGCCATTGCTGCATGACATCAGTAAATGATTTCAGCACATAAGAGAACTGGGCAATAGTAATTCAAGCAGCCTAAAAGATGGGGAAGGGCACAGCATTCAAACTAGGACTCATGACACACTTAGAGAACTTAGACTTTCAAACCCACAGCAGGTTAGTGTATGCTGGCTGACATCTTTACTGGGAGCTATTCATGAAAGAAGACAGATCATTTCCCACACCATTTACCACTGCTTCCAAACTAAATGATGCCGTAAGAGAAATAAAAATCTCTGGGGTTTCCTCCTTAAGCCCTCTGGATCAGGTAGCTCTAATTTTCATCAGGTTGGGAATCCAGGTGGCTGGACACCTCCCAAAGGGAAAGCAGCAGAGTGGTCAGTGTCCCAGAGTGAGAGCCACACAACACAGCTCATGAAGAGGAAGAACCTTCAAACCTGATGTTTGCAGTGACAGCTCAGTGTACAAAGAGCAAAGGCTAAACTATTGTGAAACGGGCTCATGTGGCACACTGTGGGGTAAATTGGTTTTTTGTGTGTGTGCATGAGGTGGGGTGTACGTGGAGTGGTGCCCTTGCAGGGTGAGCCTGGGAGGCCAGAGGCCGACACCAGAAGTCTTCCTCAATACATTTCCACAGTATTTTTCAGACAGGGCTGTTTCAGCTAGCTGACCGGCTGGTCAGTGAACTCCAGTATCCACCTGCATCCTCCCCATGCACTGCTGGGGTGGATATGACGGGGCTGGATGATCCAAACTCCACGGAGCCATCTCTCCAGCTGCCCACCTTTTGATCATTTTTATAACTGGCCAGAAGCTAATTTCAAAAACACTGAGTGATGATGAGCAATCCTGTAATCTCTTTTCCTCCTTCTCACTCCTAGAATACAGCCTCTTAACTTGGGTACTTGGGGCTAGCAAAAGTAGGTAAGTCATATAAAACTGATATCTGAATTAGAGGTCACAGGTCCTGGGACACGTTGTCAGTGTCTTAAACTGCAACATGGCAAGATTAGCCGATGCTCTTTAGTTTTGTTTTTTGAGACAGGGTTTCTCTGGTAACCCTGGCCATCCTGGAACTTTCTCTGTAGCAAGCTGGTCTCGAACTCAGAGATTAACCTGCCCCTGACCCCCGCCAAGTGCTGGGCCTGGACTACCACCATCCAGCAAGAATGGCAAACTCCACTGCTAACATGAAAGATGCTGGCAGATTCCTAATGACACGGCCTCCTGCCTGCCCTCTCTGGAGCAGAGTACTTGTACTTGGTATGTGCAGAATCGCTGGATGAAAACACCTGGGTCTACCTCCCGGGGTGTGTGAGGCTGCTCGAGAGGAGCCTCAACATCTCCTCTTGGGAAAAATTTCCTACTTGAAACATAGATGTCCCTAATAGCATATGGAAGTGTTTCAATTCCTACTCAGAAACCTCTAGAACAGAAGGTAAATGGAGAAAAAGCCTATTCACTCCCTCTGCTGATTTTGGGCCTTAGGAGAGAGAACCATGTCGTTGTTATGAAATTATTAACATGTGTAACGTGGTCAAGAACATTATGCTTCATCTTGAAGGTTCCACAGAGAGAGAGAATGCATGTTTAGAGTTCAGAGGCTTGCAGTGGGCCGATGGTGAAGGACTATGGTTCCATTCAGCAGTGGACAGCTGTGACTTCTTTCGAGGGCCACTGAGCTCCCCTCTGGCAGTGATGCTTAAGAAAGGGTTGATAAAAGGCCCTCCCTGATCCTGTGGGGCCTCTCACTTTTAACCCACAGCCCTGAGAGTAGCCATTTACTCTGGACCCACACCGCCTTGACGGGGGCCAGGAGAGGGCTGCTTCTAAGAACTGTATGTTGTGTTGTTCCCCACCCTTTGCCATTTACTGAAACTGAACCTTCAGCCATGCTGCAGGGATCTGCCAACATGGATGGCTTCGAGACTGAGAGCCCCCTTTGTGCCCGAGGACCCAACTTGAACACTATACAAATGTGGAAGGGAACCCATCCAAGATTCTGAATGCGTGGGTCTGAAGTGTGCACCACTATGGACACAAAGTGCCGCATTGTGTTAGTCTGCTAGAGGTATCCTGTGTTACAGTTACATTTTGAGAAACACTTGAAGCCACAGAGCTATTTCTCTTTCAAACATATTGACACCACAAATGTGAAGGGAAAAAAAGCACACACAGCTAATGAGCCCACAGCAAACCCAAGTGCTCTGAGAAATTAGTCAAAACCTAGGAGAAAACTGTTGATGTGAGCCTGAATCCATAAGCATAGCTCAGCATGGCAGCTGTGAACGAGAAACCAACCACACAATGCAGCCCTTCAGGGAGGCTATCCAAATCCATGGTGTTGAGGGGAGGGCTAAGAGCACTTGCTGCTCTTACAGGACCCAGGTTTAGTTCCCAGCACCTGCAACAGTTTGTAACTCTGGTTCTAGGGTACCTGTTACCTTCTTCTGGCCTCCAAGAGCACAAGGCACATACACAGTGTGCATACATACATGTAAGCAAAACACTAATATACATAAAATAAACAAATCATTAAAGAATATTATCTGGTATTTGATCTAAGAAAAAAATAAGGTTTTCATAAATTTTTTTTTTTTTTTTTTTTGGTTTTTCGAGACAGGGTTTCTCTGTGGTTTTGGAGCCTGTCCTGGAACTAGCTCTTGTAGACCAGGCTGGTCTCGAACTCACAAAGATCCGCCTGCCTCTGCCTCCCAAGTGCTGGGATTAAAGGCGTGCGCCACCAACGCCCGGCGGTTTTCATAAATTTGATGAAACATTCTGAACAGGAAAGAAATTTGAGAACTGTCTAGTTGGTCCTAGGATCTAAAGTTCTAACTCCTAAATTCACAATGGAAAAAGACCTCACTGTTAAAAAGGAAAACTTTAAATATACAAACATATTAAAGGATATTTATTTTTTCAGATCTATTTCAAATTTGTATTAATGACCTCCTAAATATTTAGTGAAACAAAACTCTATTCCACGTCTACTCCTATGTTGGCTGTTGAACTAAGATGAAGCATCAACTGAGGATGGGTTAATATCTGTGACACAAAGCAGCCATATCGTCCTCACAGAAGGGCCTGGCTCGTGCTGCTGGTGACATGAGTGTGGGCGTCGTAGGCCAGTCAACGCTGGGATTCAGAAGGAAGCTGTGCTGTGCAGAAAGTGACAACAGAGAGCACTGCACAGGTTCACGGGATGATGTGTGCTGAGCTCCAGGTCCACCTCAGAGAGAAAAAGGTACATGTCCAAACACCCAGAGAGTAACTGTCAAAGAGAAAGGTTCTGATAAACCTACCGGGAGGAGTGCAAGCATCCGCAGGAGACTGGACAAATGTGGACCGCCTTTTGGTGGGCATGGGCAAAGCCATTTTTTGTTCTTTGTGCTTTGCCAGAGCAGCCTGAACCGCTTCTGTGTGGATATCTGAAAGGATAACATATGGATTTATTTGCACTTGTGCTGGATGGTAACATCTGAGGAATGAACTATTGACCGTTATTTAGATTGTTAAAAATGCCAAGGGGGAGGTTTAGGTGGTTTTATTTATCTTTTGATTCAGATCAATTAAGATAAAAATCAAAGCTAGAAACAAAAGGAGTCAAGGGCAATTTCATAGAGCACAGTGAAGACTGAGCGCACAACGTTAGAAACAGCAAAGGGCTGCCTAGGGGGGCATGAGCCCAGCAAGTCCTGTGCCCAAAGGGAGCCCAGCCTCTACGTGGACTGGAGTTAATTCTAAGGAAATAATTAGTGTTCTGCAAGGAAAATTTTGAATTAGAGCACTTCCAACAAAAGTAGCCTAGGGTACTCTTAGCTGTCAAAAAGAACTCCCTCAGGTCTATGCCACAGGGACAGAAGGGATGATTCTGGTCTAAAAGTCACAAGGGCACATGTTACTCATTTTGCAGCCTGCACATGGCTCTGGCCTCTTGCATTTGTCATAGGAACCTCAAAATTAGCATATTCCAAACAGAATTCTGGCTTCTTCACCCCACTACAAAATGAATAAGTAAATATATAAATAAATAAAAAGCAACAACAAAAAAAAAACCCGATTGTTCTGCACACAGCATGATGCATTCTGTCACTGCTTTGTAAAGGAGCCTCTTTACAAGGCATTCAACTTGGACCTCTGGCCTGCATACGTACACACACACAAGCACACACCCACTCACACCAACACAAACATGTGTATACAAACATGTATACGACCCCCTCACACACACAGGACTGAAGGGAAATAAAGATGCTCTTACAGATCCTGCTGAGGTGGAGCAAATCCAACGTTTCCCCACTTGACAGTTTCTCCTGCCCAGGAATGGCTCCAGACACATCCTCTCAGGCTTCTCTGCCATTTTTTGTTGTTGTTTTGAGACAGGGTTTCTCTGTAGCTTTGGAGCCTGTCCTGGAACCAGTTCCTGTAGACCAGGCTGGCCTCGATCTCATAGAGATCTACCTGCCTCTGACTCTTAAGTGCTGGGATTAAAGGGTGCATGCACCACCACTGCCCAGCTTCTCTGCTCTTAAGTGTGACCTCAGATGAGCTCGTCCAGTCATATCCATGTCTGAGGAAATCTAACTCAGAGTCAGAAAGTGTAGGTCCCAGGGCTGATGGGAGCTAAGGACAATGACCCAGAAAGGGGAGTCTGAACTTCAAGTCAGATCCCTAGAATTCTCTCCCTTCCTAGGGGTTTCTCAGCCATTTCCTTCTGTGACCTGTACCAGCTATTTAAGGGAACCTGAGTCAGCAGCTGCTCTTGCAACCAAAACAGCCCTGACTGACACAAATAAACGGCTCCGCATCCTGACTTTAAAGGGCTCCACAGCACTTCCCGGAGTTAACAGGTTACAACTTCGGCAACCCTTTACTATCAAATATTAGGTTGTTTCTATTTTTCTTACTACTGTCCACAATAAGAATAATTCAACATTTCACTTTAGAACACATCTAATTATCTCCTTAGCATTAGCTCCAAGCAAAGGGGTGAAATCAACGAATATCCACTTCTTATTAATACTTCCTTAGAATAATAATTTTTCTCTTACATAGCCACTGTTCAGTTATCAAAATCTGGAAGTGTAGCCAGGTGTGCTCTAGGAAACCTTTAAATTCCAGCACTCAGGAGGCAGCAGCAAATGGATCTTAAATTAGAAGTAAACTAGAAGTCAGTCAGGGCTACACAGTGAGACCTTGGTTTTTTTGTTTTGTTTTTTAAAATCTGTAACTTTAACATTGATGCGCCCATCCTGCTGTCTGACTCACAACCTAGCTGTCCCAATAATGCCATAGTTTCTCACCAGCTTTTCCTGATCTAGACACATATTCCTTTTGGATATCCTGATCCTTTAGCCTCTTATAATCTGGGACAGTGTCTTAGTCTTCCTGTCTTTTATTGTCATGACAGTGTCGCACAGCCTATTTTTATAAAACGCCCCAAATGTTTGCAGCTTTGATATGTTCTTATTAGATCCAGGTATATACTCTGACAGGGACACCACAAAGAATGTGCCATTCTAAAAACATGGTATCAAGATATACCTGTCTATTATTGGTGACAGTACCTTCGAATATTCAGTTAAATGTTGTCTGTTAAATTAATCCACGTGGTTCGTCTTCTTTGTTTTTGTCTGTTTGTTTCTTCCCCGACACACACTCTACTTGCTCTGTAGACCAGGCTGACCTTGAACAAAAATCCACCTGTCTCTGCCTCGCAAGTGCTGGGATTAAGGCCTGACCACTGATAAGTCTTAACTGCATCATGACCCTGGGTGAGATATTTATTACTTAGGGAATCAACACATTCACTGGTTCCCCATCTACTCTGGGACTCTCCTGGTGTTAGCGTTTGTTGGCAAATTACTGGCATCCTGGCTCTTGGATACTTTTCATTTTGGTAGTTATGGTTTCCTGACACAGTGTGTCACCTAGTACCTTCCCTGTCCAGGCCTGGTCCTGCACAGCTCTCTCAGGAGCTCCTGTCAATGGCAGATATGCAGCCTTCAGGAACCAGGATCCTGAACTAGCGGCTCTTGGTATTACTGGGCCTTTCAGGGTCGACGGAACACAAACACAAGTATCTGTGCACATATCTATTTCTATCTATATGTGCATTAAAAATGAGTCCCTGATACTCTGATTTCATTCAGCCCAAAAAATTCCTTCTAATGTCCCCCTTTCCATTTGTAACTTCCTTTTAACAATGCCCCCAATATTTTATTCACTCACTGAATCTATATTATGCTACATAAACAGCTACTTCAAAATTGTTATATCAATTGTAACAAATCTTCTAACTTGAGTTCAGTACCTGTTTCTAGTTGTCTGGTCTTTAGACTGGGAGCGTTTACGTGAAGAAAGCACTGTAATCAAATCTGTTCAGGCCAGTTCTCAGGCTGCACGCCTGCTGAGCACAGCTTTATTCATGTTTCAAAAGCCCGTGCCATTTCCAGTTAGCTCTCTGTCTTGGGGTTTTACCTCAAGATGTGAGCCCTCAACTTCTGCTCCAACGCCATGGGGGTGGGGGACTCATCCTCCGAAACTGCAAGTCCTGTCAAATGTTTTCTTTTCTAAGTAATCATGTAGAGGTCAGAACCTGTCCATTCTTTCCACCATGTGAGTCTCAGGAAGTGAACTCAAGCCATCAGGGTGGGCAGCAAGTGCCTTTAACCCACTGAGGTAAAATAAACCTTCAAGTCATTTGTTCATCTTCCCCACCAACTTCCAGTTTTATTTTCCCTAATTTTTTTTCATATATTAGGGATATGAGATACAAATTGCCAAGAGGCAAATTTATACTGCTTTCCTACCACCACACACACAAAAAAAACTTATGTGCCTTTTATTGCATCAGAAAGTCTTTCTATATATAAAGTCCAAGTGATAAAAGTGTTGGCTGGTTTCCTTTGGTATGTGTACCCTTCTATCGTTCAAATCTCTAATCCAGAGAGGTGAAGTGGGAGGTAGCGTATGCTCCAGGCTATCTCCCAGCTGTGTGAACGCCAGTATTTCAACAGAACCTGCGTGTCCTGGTAAGCTGCAACACCAGCTGCACAGCACACAAAAAAGACTCTCAGAAGCACAATGGTGGAGAGCTGAACTTGCTGTCTTATTGTAATAGTCTGCCAACAGGCATGTGTGCCATACAAACTACTATAATTATTATCACATAGCTAATATCTACCTATTTCTCACATTTTTCTGTGTTTTCTAAGCCATTCTTTGCATTCCCAAACAAATCTCAAAAGTAAATTCTCTGGGCCTGCAAACCCTTTGCAAACACCAGCTCTATGTACTAAGAGAGGCAGGAGATAGAATTTCAGTCCTGTATTTCACATTATCTGCTTTTGCATTTTTTACATTATCTGTCATTTTCTTTTGCACAGAGTAAACGGCTATTTATCCTTCAGAATGGCTTGGACAGCATCAGCATGAAGCCTGCCTCAGCAACAGGCACCTCCTGCTTCTTTCAGATGCTGCCTTTGTACCCTGGACTGTGTGAAGGACTCTTGTGTTTCCATCTATGCTTCCCCAGGATGTCATGCTGTGCTCAGATCACAGGAAGTGCTGCCAGGAGAGTTCCATCGCTCCTGGCTGAACTCAGGGGTATTAATACAGAAAGACATGACCTGGAGCCCCTGTGTCAGTCACTTTACGCAAACAGAACAGATTTGGACAAAGATAGAGAAGCTCTCCTCTAGATGAAAGAGGGAGGTATGCTGCATTTCAACTCAGAAGAAGCCACACTGATGGTGAGGACCCATAGTAAGACATGACTGTCACAGCCGAGCTTGCTGTCCTGTTACAATTATACCACTCAGAGATTTTATGGGTCATTTTGTCAACAATAAGAAAACTGAGCAGAGGGAATTGCTCAATGGCCAAGCACTTGTCTGGGATGTGTGAGGTCTCTAGTCCAATCCTACTTCAATCCCTAGAATCACCAAAAGAAACAAAGAAGTAATCATATATTACAAAAACAATCTAAACACATACAGCACTAATTAAGGATGTTGCAAGAAACACCAGCTCAATAGCAGGGTACATTTTTGTCTCAAATTTCTGTACCTATGAGCACTAACTAATGCTCAGTCTCCTCCATACTAGGATTATGGAGTATACTACCTACCAAGTCCAGTTTGGGCTATTACTTTTAAAAGCATAATACCAACTTACTTACTTTGGGTTCTGAAATAGGATACTTTTATGTAGCATGTATATTTATTTCATATTATTTTAGTGTTCCCTAAGTCCACTCAAATCAAGAATTCCATATCTTATTGAAATTTTCACACTATCTTACAAAAGAGACAAATTAAAGTATTTTTTTACATTTTATTTATTTATGTATGAGTGCTCTATCTGCATGTACACCTTTAGGCCAGAAGAGGGCACCAGATCTCACTATAGATGGTTGTGAGCTACC